TCATATCTATGGACCTGTTATCTATATTTATCTATTTACAAAGCCAGTGGAAACAAACAAGAAGGTTGTCCTGTAAGTGTTAGTGCTGCATATTCAATGCGCTGGTTCCTTCTTTCACAGGTATTTCTCCTGTGCATATTGATCACTGTTTGTTTCTGGCCCAGCCCAAGCTACCCAGGATGCTTGGACAGAGCATCCTTTCCCCGGTATCTGGGCTCTCTCCTGGTACTTCTCCCTCTACCAGGAAGGCGGCTCCACTCCTTCTTTCCTAGTCAGCATGGATTTACCCTGGAGGGCTGAGCCCTGGTTTCTCCTCTTCTAGTAAGTTCTTTCCTTCTCACTGCCCCCCTGTCCCGAGATCAGCAGATCCTTCCTCTGCCAGGGCTTCTATCCTCCTGGAGACTGCTATCTCTTTCCCGTTTTCTCTTTCCTTCCTGGAGATGGGGACTGTGCCTTATTCCTCCATCTTTCCGGGGTTGGATAGATGAGTAAATAAATGAGATCTTCAAAGTCTGTTGAACATTTCAGAGGACCCACTGCAAGGGAGACAGTTAGGTCTGCACTAAGATCAGTTAACTGACAGGGTCATGCTGTCTTCCCTTGGCCAGCTGTTCCTTTCTTCAGAGGCAGCATTACCTGACTTCAGTATGGCTGCAGCCACAGGAAGTCAGTGCTCAGGACCCAGGTTCACTCTCTGTTCCCAATATTTTTCTCATCCATTTCGTTAAAGAACTGTTTCCTCTCCACTTGGAACCAGACCATAAACAAAGGCCAGAGAAGCTCTGGGGCTACTTTATGATTCCAGTTTATCCTGCTCTCTCTCTTTAAATCGTTTGAACAGAGCATATTTATTAGTTGTCGCGTCAATAAAATGTAAATAGAACTTACTAAAGAACGGCCCCAAAGTATGAGGCATCTATCATTTCACAATGGCAACAACACAACAAATGACAGGAAGGAAAGGCAAGAGAATGACATCTAATACCACTGAGCATGTGGCAAGGTAACTCATCTGGTCATGACAACATAGCCTTCCCCATGTAACCCTTACATCCGTGAGAAGTAAATTATTGTTATTCTCTCTTTACAGATGGAGAACTGAGGCGTGGAGTAGTTACATAACTGGGTTAGGCCCCTCGGCAAATAAAATAGAACCCATACCTGGAACTCTGACACCAGACCTGTATTCTTGCTACAACATGGACAAACCAGAATGTCAAAGACCACTAGCTATGGTGGAGATCTTTAAAAATGTATAGAATTATTTCCATTAGTATCATCATATCCAGATAAACATTATACCTCCCAGTTACAGATTAAGAAACTGAAGCCCAGTGGCATTATGTGACCTGCTCCAAGTAGCCCACCTACTATGTGACTGAGGCAAGATTCAAACCTCAATGTCTGTTTTATGCAGAGCACTTAGTTCTTTGTGACTGTTTTTGAGTGCCACAGCAGGATAGGAAAGCCAGGAAGTCCTCAGTTGCTCTGCAGAGATAAAGTCACCTCACAGTGCCTAGAGGACTCACTGAAGGGCATTGTCAGAATCAGGTCTCCTGATTGCTAGTCTGGAGGACACTTCCTCCCAGACCATATTGCCATTCCCATCAGACCATGTAATTTCTTTTTCTGATTGGGACACAGAGCCAACAGCCAACAAAGATCGCAATCTGTCTGCCTGCTCTCCCTCTGCCATGAGTCTAAAACAATGGATATCAAAGAGGAACCAGGTTAAATGACCCTTGAATGTACCAAGTTGGCTTGTGCTTCCCTGGTCAGTCCCAGGTTCCTTTTCTCCCCTACCTGACAAGCAGGGTGGCTCCAGGAGCTGGAGTGCAGTCTCTCCATTCAGCACAGACTCCTCCCAGTCTCTAACTCCTGTGAACACTAATGCAATTCCTGCATCTCCTCAGTCCCATATTTAAATACCCTCAGCCATCAGCTATCATTGGCCTGAAGCATCTCTCACACAGATTGTCCTGACAACCTCCTATTGCATGTCCCTGCCTTCAGTGCAGCCAGCATGACTTCCCACTATTTACGAAACATCTGTTGTTCGTCATCACCTGTTATTTAAGTTCGAAGCCTGCGGATTTAGATTTCTCTCCTGTATCTGAAGGTCTTTGCCCAAACCAGACCAGTTATACTCCTGCTACACACGCATACTTTTCCTCCTCACCTGTCTGTATGCAGCGTTCTCCCTTCAGTAACATGATCCAGTCACATTGTACTAACTTCTGCCCTATATTAAAGCTTAGTTTAGAAAAGCCTTTCATGAGAAAGACTTCTCTGACTCTTACGACCATTTTGGATTCTCCCTTATTCATGTTTTTAGTTACTACTTACTACTCTGTATCTAGAACCTCACCTGGTATTTAGCACACAAACGCACATACACACACACACACACACACACTTTCTCTCTCATACACACACTCACATGCACTTTCACATTTACACATATACATTCACACTCTCATTCACATGTACACACTCATATATACTCACTTATACACATTTACATACATTCATACTTACACACATTTATATATACTCACACTCACACATACACACCATTATCGTTATTGGCTGGAGTATGGGCAGTATTTGGCTTTTGAAGGTGGCTTTTAAAGATTATCTTGGAATTTGGTTTGTAGCCCAGGCTAGCCTCAAACTCATGATCCTCCTGCTTTTGTCTCCCAAGCACTGGGATTATAGGTGTGTGCTACCATTATTACTTTTAAATGTTCCTTAGCTTTCCAGAATTCCTCTATCACTAAGTTTATGATGAATATTATAACTATCTCTTCTCTCTTCTGACTCCCCAAGTACAAGGAAAGCCTGAGAGTACTCTTTTTTTTTCAGTATTTTACCCAGGTGCTGGGTATGATTCCTGGTTCACACTAATATGTATTTATTTTTAGTGAAGGAGAATTGGGTGTTAAGAGATAGAAACTCTGAGACAAGGAAGGGTGTTTTACGAAAAATAAAATTTCTATCAGAAAATCACAACAGAAGTTCAAAGAAAGGTGGGAGAACCTATAAAATTGGACATCAGAAAACCATGACAAACCATCAGCAGCATCCTCCAGAGAGACTCACCTGTGACTCACTGTGAAATGGGTCTATTATCCCCTTTTGTCCATAACCTCAAACCTTCTAGGAAATTCCTACCTTGCCACAGTACTGTAGGGGAGCAAAGCACGTGTGGTGTGAAATTGACTTCACATGTACTGAGGAGTGGGAGGATCACACCATCTAATGTTTTGGTGGCAAAGAGAGAGAATCAAAGGGCAGTGTGGCATTTAAGAGATGGCTAGACTTTGGGAAGTCATTGTTCCTATGCCTCACAGCAGACTATGTCATTGGCCTTGCTGACCCAGGAGATATTATATCACATTTTTAGATGATGGTCTCAGTCTTGGAGACTGCAGAGAGAGCACTCTGTTCTTATCATGATCTCTCTGAGGCTCTACAGCATCTGAATTGTGATCTATCACCTGGCCTACTCCTTGCTAGCTCCTCCCTGTGAAGTTACCACCTTTGCCTCTTAAGTTCCCATAAACTGAAGCCCACTAAAGCTTCAGTAGGCTGGGTTCTAAGTCATGCCATTAACATAAGAGATTTCCTTGCACAGCTTACAATAGGATCTCCATGACTATTCACCAAGAGTTACAGAAGGCTAATGTGAGCACTTTAATTGGGGGAAGAGATAGTTTTCATAGAGAGTGAATGGTCCTTCCATTTCTGTGAGTTCTGCATATGAAAATTCAACTAGCCACAGATAGAAAATGGTTTAAAAAACCGAATCTGTACTGATCACATACAGTCAATTTTCTTGTCATTATTCCCTAAACAACACAGTATAACAATGATTTATATAGCATTTACAGAACATTGGATATTATACTATCTAGAGATGATTTAAAACAGGCATCAAGGACAGGTATGGTGGTCCAGTGTTGAATCTCAGCACTTGGGAGGCAAAGGCAGACAATTCTCTGTAAGTTCTAGGCCAGCCATGTCTACATAGTGAGTTGAGGATAGCCAGAACTACATAGATACCTTGTCTTAAAAAACTAGCACATGCATACCTTGAAGTACACAGGAAGATGTGTGTGGGATAAATGCAAGTACTACAACACTATATATACCTAAGGGACTAAAATGCCAGGGGACTTCAGTGTCCATTTGGGTCCGGAAACATCTTGGCACATCGAGGGCCAACTCTATATGGAATTTATCCTATCCTTTACCCTTTTCAAGACTGCTCAACTATAATTCTTTCTCGGAGAAAACTACAAGTTTAGAAAAGAGAAATCGATCAAATTAAAACTCAAAGGATAAGTGTTAACATGTTCTATCAGAATCTGTTATAGATCCAAAAAGGTGAGCTTGAAATAAACTATAATTCATGAAGGAATTTCCTTTAAAAAATAAATCAAGCAAGGTAAAAAGTAACCCCAAGTTTTCACCATAGTGAAGAGAAGTTTTGGGGAAACTAGAAGGAAAAGCAATTTGTCAAAGGCACAGGGCTGGGGTGGGTAGGGCAGGGAAGATTGCAGGGGAGTCAAAAAGAAGAGAGGAAAGGGGGTGGGGAGAAGAAAGAGAAGAGCAAGGGAGGGAGAAGGGGTAGTAAGCAAGGAGGGAAAAGCATGAGATTGTGAGGAGTGACAGGTGAGGTGAGAGGGGGAAAGAGGGAAAAAAGTGGGAGTAGGGAAAATAAAGTGGTGGGGGGTGAAGAGAAAGACAAGAAAAGCAGAAACAGTGGGAAAGCCATGGGTCCAGGGACCTAAGGAAGACTTGAGGACTGGAAGCAGCAGTTGAGAAGATGTCTGTACTCCATCTGAAGGGCATATGGAGGTCAGAGACACCTCCAATAATGGAGCCTGCCACATTCATCTTCGCCAAACTCCTGACATGCATAGTAAATCCTTCCAAATTTGATCTTCCCAGCTAGATGGAGGCTTCTCTAGGGATAATGGACCTGGAAAGGATACAGGCTTCTTCAGTGTAGGGCACAGCGGCTGTCGTGCCCCCAATGATGTAGCTGTAGAAGGAAACCTCTAGGGTATAGCAATATGAAGTGTGATCCAGGAGCCCACCAAGGAAGCGACGGCCAGTTCCTGCTTTCACAGCATCCCGATTGAAGGATGTGCTAGTCTGTGAAAGAGAAAGATGGGAAGAGAGAAAATCAGACCTAGATATCCCACACTAGCTTTTAGATTTTGAGCAAATCTTACAACACCTCCAACTCTCAGTTTCATCATCTGAAAAGTGGGACCTGCTTCACCATCTCAGTTATTATAAGAACTTATTAGTCAACAAATGTAATTGAAGGAAAGCATCCAGCAGGCTTCGTGGGACACAGCTACCTGTAGGAATGTGAGTAGGGCTTGTGGAGGAGTGGAAAGCAGACAGGAGGCAAGAAGAAACTACACTACGATCATAATCAGAATAAAATGTTCAACTTGATGATACTGTTCCCTAGGTGGTATCATGTTTTAGATTCAGAGGAACCCATTTAAGTATGTGTTCATATTTTATCTTTCTGTAGATGAGGAATCTGAGACTCACAGATGTGCAAGTAAATAAAACAGTACAGATGTGAAGTCAGGGCTAAGTGACTCCCGGTATCCCTATGCTCTCCATCTTACTAGAGAGAACTGAACTCATGTCCAACATGAGCTAGGGAGGTTAGTCATGCTCCTTTTGTAAGATGTTGACAGTACCTACCAGGGTAAACAAAGAGAGACAGGTAAGCAGACCAGACTTAGGTCCTTTATTCAGAAACACATTTTGTTTCCCCACTGTTTGACAGCTGTCAGCTTGCCCTTTTGGTGTGCCTCAGTTTCCTTTTCTGTGTGGTAGAGGGGAAGGAAACTGTGAAAAAAATCACAGACTCTCCAGTGCAAAGACCTTGGAATCTATGTCATAAAACAAAATCCTCCCATTTTGAGGTTAATTCTTGAGAATCAGAGCAGTGACAGGAGTGGTACCAGGATAGATTATCCTGATGGCAGCCCGGAGATCCCAAGGAAGCTGAGATACAGGAACGTCCACAGGACCAGAAACATGGCCTAGATGATGTCTGGTCTGTAGATTCAGGGACCCTCACTCATGTGAGCATCCCTGAGACCTATGGCACACCTTCCAATGAACTAGAGGCTAAAGAGACTATATAAGGTTCCTATAGAAACAAATGGCTGGTTTTGTCTCATAGCTGCAAATGGGCAGGTGCCTGTTTGGTTCTACCACCTAATTTCTAGATGACTTGACAGTAGAGTCTCAACCTTTCTTGTCCATAGGTTTCTCTTGAATATAAAAAAAGGACTGTGCTAAACAACCTCCAATTCCCTTTTTGGTCTGTCATCCAAAGATTCTGTAATTCAAAGTGCATCTTACCACACAGAGAAATTCACCATCCTCACTAATGTCCAGCCTGAAGCCATGAGCAGGTGAGTTTTCAGATCATCATCTTCAAAAATTGCCATGACCTCTGTGGGCCTCTTCCCGACTGGCCACAGGGCAGCAACAAGGCCCAGAGATTTAGCATCAAAACCAAGAAAAAAAGAGCAAAAACAGTCCCATATCTCAAGAGTGCACGCTGACATCCCTCATCTTTTCTCCCTGCTCTTCTCTGACATTGCTTTGGGCTGCAAAATTTCTAACTGCCCCATCTCGGCCCATCCCACCCACCTTGCATGTCTCTGGAGGTTGTTGAGGTCTTTTCTGCCTGCAAGGGACATTCATATCTATAGCTCCATATGTCTGCCCAGGAAGCTGTGGTGCCAGCAGGATAAAAAGAAATATACCCACCAATTACTGTCAAAGAAATTGGGGCCAAGGAAGTCATGGAAGATGAGAATGGTGGGTATATAATCCCTTGAGCAGACATATTGTTCTTCTTGTGGAAGAATGGGGGCAAATGAAAATAGACTACCTGGCTAGGAATAAAACAGGGAGACCACTCGATGAGTTTCTTTGCCTTGTTAATGCTGGAGTCAGACTCCATAAACAAATACTAGGTGACCAGACACATTAAATAAAAATGAATCTGAAGAAGAGAGGAAGGTGTGACAGGAAGAGGTGCAGAAGCATCTTGGCTACCTGAGAACTTTTGACTCACATAGGAGAAGTCCTCTGCATTCTGGCAAAGGAGCTTTGGAAAAATGGACTGCCTTTGGAACCGTTCCTCATCCTCAAAGATATTGCCATACATGAAGCCATTCATCATGGTGGAGTGGGCGTGGATGTCAATATAGAACTCCAGACTGGTTTTCTGTTGAAAGAAAGGATAACAAATGAGAAGGCAGAGCCACCTTATAGGAAGCCACGCTGCACACACCCTTTTCAGCTGGCCCTTTGTATCAATACACTTGGCAGCTACTTGCAGTGTGATTGGAGAGCAGGAGACAGGCGAGAATCGATTTCTATTCATTTTTAACTAATGTGTCCTCAGTGTCAGAAAGTGCTACTGGTAGCATGTCTTTTAGAGGTCTCAGAGAGAGGAGGGTTTTGTTGTATTCTCAACTAAGTTACTTACAGAGAACATGATTAGACATTACAAGAAGTTATTATCTGATTAATAAGAAATACCTTCCAGGAAATCATAGTGTTTACATCGGGTATTTGTGCAATTTTGTCTACATTTACATGTCTAGCTGAGAAGCCAGGTATAAATTGTACTCCCACTGTGAGCTTCAGGATTTTTAAACAAAACAAAACAAAAAAAACCAAACCTTTTCTTTTATTTTGAGGTCACAGTTATATCATTTCTTCCCAATTTCCTCCCTCTAAGGCCTCCCCATACTTCTCCTTGCTCTCTTTCAAATTCATGTTCTCTTTTTTCATTAATTGTTATTACATGCAGATATGTATATGTATTAGTATATTCTTCCCTGGGGAAGGCTATTTATCCCACACTAAAAATTCCTTAGTTGCCTATAGTTCTTTGTATAGGATTAAAACCTTGTGGTTTTTGCCCCATCCACATTGGCATCTCTATTGTTATCCTTGTCCGGCTTATATTTAGTCAGTCATGTTGGTGAGACTTTATGCATGTAGGTTCTGACATTACTAGGAGACACAGTCTCACAACCAACTTCCTGATCCTCTGGCTCTTACAGTCTTTCCATTCCCTCTTCTGCAATGATCCCTGAACATTAGGTGCTGGAGTGTTTTATGGATGTATCCATCAGGACTCCATAACTCTGCATTTTGATTTATTGTAGCTTTCTATAATGGTCTCCATCTGCTGTAAAGAGAAGTTTCTTTAATAAGCAGAGGTGGGGCGTAAGGACTATACTTTTCTGTGGGTAATAGGGCAAATATTACCATACATTTTGGAAGTGGTGGCTATAAGTGACTTCATTAGCCCAGAGTAGTTGGCTAGGAGGTATTTTTAATCTGAAAAATATGTATTTTGATTCTAATCTCAGAGTTATACTGGGAAGCAAACACAGTAGTTGCCATCACTTCACGCATATTTAAGGCATTCTAGGAGCCATTCTAGAAGCTTTACACATGAAGTCTTAATTAGCTCTTTCATTTAACCTTTTCTCATGATGTCCCATCTTTTCCCGAATAGCAAAAAACAAACAAACTAACAAAAAACAATAGTTCATGGCAAGAGAGGCTTTGTAGTCTGTAAGTGACATTGCTAAGACTTTCTTTGCTTGCATAGTTAAGATACTTTCTAACTTGATGTGATATTATATATTAAATTCTCTAAAGATGGGGAATTGTCTATAAAGGGCTTAGTGTTTCTAAGTGCAGGATGCTCAGAACTGTTGGCAGAATGATGATACAAAAGACACCAGAAAATGACACCAGACACCACAACAGACACCAGACTGGCAGAAACAAGAGGACTTTTAGGACTTTAAATCTTCAGTGTCTCTCAAACACAATGATCCTCCTCTTTGTACATGTCAACTAAATATCACACACACACACACACACACACACACACACACACACACACACACACCAATCCTCATAAGATTAACAAAGCCCCAAATGTGAAGAAGATTTGTCTGAGCTCATGGAATAATTGGGACTGAGACTGATGCCCAGGACTCTTGACTCCTGACAAAATTGACTTGTCATCTGTAACCAACACTTGACACTCCTGGTCACCTAACCATCTTTGTCTGGTTTTCAGTCCTGGGAAAGAAAAGAAGGTCATATGTGGGAGGTTTCCCCCTCATTGGGACACTTTCAAACCAAGTTACAGCCAAATAAAATCCATGTTGTTTCTAAAATGTGAGTTTGATGACTGTCTTTTCATTTGCCTCAGAGTTGGAGTGAAGAATTAAGTCTTGCTGAGCTCCTGGTTATCTTGGTAGCATACACTGTCTTCTGAGGGCAACAAGATGCATTTCTCTGTGCGATATTAAACTCATCATGTTCGGCTTTGGAGGAGGAATACACAATGGTCCAACAGGAGCCCCATAAAAGTCACCTTTGTAATTTTATTTTCTTTGATTGTCTGTTTTTTACTCTGAACTTTTGATGAACTGCAGAGGAAAGGAAAAGGTACAGAGATGACTGAGAAACATATGAGGAAAATTGCAATTTATAGTTATGACTGCCAGAGATAGAAAGGCCTTGGAAATAAGGCCCCTGACATCTCTCCAATCAGCCCTGAGTAGGGAGGTAGCTTTTGCAAGGCTGACTGGCATGCTGGTGATGGAACAAGAATTAGAGCCAAACCCTACTGACAACCACTTGGGTATGGTATCAGTTGTCCCTCAAATCTGGCATCCTCACAGTGGGTGGCTAATATGACTTCACTTTAAATTACCAGCAGGTAAATTTGAATTGATTGACGCGTATGGTTCCGAAGTTAAGAGGCATGACACAATTTACAGTGGAAAATGCCCCTTCCACTCCATCCAGCAATCATACAGTTTTGCTGTCAGGTTTACATGTACTCTTCCAGAGACAGTTTGTATATAAACAAGGAAATAGTCCTCACTCCAAATGGTCAAGTCGTCGTTGTCTTCTTCTTCTTCTTCTTCTTCTTCTTCTTCTTCTTCTTCTTCTTCTTCTTCTTCTTCTTCTTCTTCTTCTTCTTCTTCTTCTTCTTCTTCTTCTGTTTTGGGAGTAACTTTTTCTCAACAAATAGTTGCTTCATTCTATTTGATAGCTAATCAACTCCCTACCTGATGGACACTTAAGAGGTTTCCAATCTTTTCCTGTTACCAGCAGTGTTTTGGTGATGGACTTTGCAATATAGCAGTTTATACAGATGCAATTCTACACTGGATTCATAGAGATGAAATCACTACAATCCTGTTGTACATCTGCAATTCTGATAAATACTGACAAGCTCCCTTAGAAGGGCCAGTACACTCCCAACTGTGTATCAGGACCTCATCACCTTGACAACTTGGATGCAATTTTACTTTTTGAAATATTCCATTTTTGATAGCTAAGCTGGGCATTGGTGGTGCACACCTTTACTCTCAGCACTCTGGAGACAGAGGCAGTTGGATATCTGTGAGTTTGAGACCAGCCTGGTCTACAAAAGCTAGTTCCAGGACAGCCTCCAAAGCCACAGAGAAACCCTGTCTTGGAAAAAAAAATGATATCTAAGGTTAGTTTTCTGATTTATACAAGCTATACATTACATAAATTCATCTTTACATTTTATAAAATACTTTTGTCATTTTTTATTTTAGCTTGTTTTTACTTTATTTTACTTTTTACATTTAACTTTGAATGTTATTTTTTAATGTGATCACATTTATCAACCTTTTCTTTTGGAGTTCCAGACATGACTGCCTTCACTGTTTCTTTTGTTTCCTGTTCCCTTGTTTACCTTTAAATATTTGCATTTTAATATAGATGAATGGGTTGATATGACAGGGGAGAGACTGGAGAAATAGATAACTAACACCAAGGATGTTTGAGAAAGCCATATAGAAACCTATTATTCTTCAGGCATCTTTCATATATTTATACAAATGTGTACATATGTGTCTAAGCATGTGTGTATGAATGTATATATTTATACAAGTATATGTTTATACATACATACATATATGTACATATGTACATATATATATATGACTTTAATTGGATTCATCCAGTATTAGGTATCAGATACTCCCCTGAAGTTGTTAATCTGGGAGTCCTGGACTCTCCCAAAATAATATAGGCTATTGTCATTGTTCTTTGTTGCCCACTGGAACTTAATAGTAAGACATACTGCTGAAGACACCAAATGCTTTGAACAAATAACATGGAGAAGTCAAGCTGTCAGCTTTATACCTGTTGACTAGCTTTCATAGTACCAGGAAGTAATCAACTTCTTACCCAGTTGTGAACATTGTGAACTACAATATGACTAGCATGGCAAAATATGCCCATGTGTGCAATAGAGGCAGGATGTTAAGGGGGTAACCGCTGTTTTCTGATTGGATATAAGGTCTACTACACATAAGAACATGCATGAAAAGTACTGTTAATTTTGTCAAGAACCTATGGTTGAGGAGCTCACAGCTCCCCAGAGTGAACCTGCTATTAATTATTCTGCTAAATGTGTACAGTTTCAAACTCCCTCCAAATTTATATCTACCTACCTCTAAATTAGTACAGTTATCAGACCCCTTCAGAGAAATTTCTTTGTGCAGAGAACAGTTGATGTTTGAGAAGCTCACAATTGGTCAAAATGTAAAGAATAAATGTGTGGAATGATAAACCACAGCATCTATATCAAGATTTCTGTATCATTCCATGCTATCCTCAAGGCACAGGAATCATTGAGGAAGAGGAACCAGTGAGGCTGTAAGAGCCGGAGGTTGAGAAGGAGTAGAACAAAACTGTCTTCTGTACTCAGTAACTCCCAACAGCTTGTTGCCTGACCAAGACCATATGAGACCTAGCCAGTCAATATTCTAGTATGGACAGGGGTATGGTCAGGACACTCAGCTGGGCACTATTGATAGTGAATGACTTCTAGGGGAGTGAGGATCAGTTTTCTTTAATAGTATAGGTCACCCGTGTTCCAATGGACAGATCTACATCCATGAGAGTATGGGCAGCACAAATAGAACTTGGAAATTTATTTTAAAAAATAAAGAGGGGGTGAAGACACATGGGACGATCTGGAAATCAGGAGAAAATTTCATATATATATATATATATATATATGAAATTGTTAATAAATATAGACAAAAGTAGGAAATAAATGGTAAATGGATGAGACAGAAAAAGAGACTTCTTTAAACTTTTAATTGTTTTTTTATCCTCAATTAATATAAGTCACTCAAG